AGAGGGGATAGCCACGCCACAATCCCTTCTCCTCTATTCTCCTCTCGGGATCTTGGGCACGCACGCACACGCGCCCGGCGTGGGTTTTAAGCCACCAGGTCCGGGACGTGAACCGTGGTTGACTATGTGGGAGTCCAGTGACATAGCCATTACTCTAACTGCTCGTTCCCTGTTTTTTTTTTTTTTTTAGATTTATTTTATTTAACTTTCTTTCTTTCCTTCTTTTCTTTCTTTTCATTCTTTTCTTTCTTTTCTTTCTTTCTTTCTTTCTTTTTGACCAGAGAGGGACAGAGTGAGAGCAAGAGAGAGAAAACTGCCAGGTCCTCAACCCAAGCTCGAGTCGACCACGTGGGAGTCCAGCACTAGCACTCTTAAACACACCACCTGCTGGCCCACAACTGTTTGTTTTTTTTTTTTTCCCAAGATCATTGGACTACTTTAAGTTCTTTGCATTTCCCTCTAAATGTTAGTTACTGATATTTACAAAGAGCCTGTGGGACCAGCAGTTGGCATAATGGCTATGTTGCTGGATTCCCATGTAGTTGACTGCAGTTTGAGTCCCGGACCTGGTGGCTTAAACTCACACCAGGTGCGCGTGTGTGCGTGCCCAAGATCTCGAGAGGAGAATGGAGAAGGAATTGCGTCTTGGCTATCCCCCCAGGGGATGATTTCTCGCTTTCTGTCTCTCTGTCTCTCTCTTTCTGGTGAGTGCACACGCCCTATAGCAAAAACCTCTCCAGAAAAGAACAAAACAAAACAAAGAGCCTTTAAGCATTTTGGTTAGATTTGTGTTGGACAAGCCATGTTTTTCTGTGCAAGAATGCGTCATGACTTATCCAATGACCCAACGTATCAGGATAAGTTTTAATTTTGAATCTTCAGGTCCAGGAACCGGATGAATTCCTTTAATAGGTCTTTCATTTCTCTCAACGATGTTTTTTAGTTTTCAGTGTCTTTTTATTTCCATTTTTCAAATTTGCTATCAGGCATGTGCGCTCAGGGTTTCTATCTCTTTCTGTTAGAGGGAAAGTGAGAAAGGGCTCACCAAGGGGCATGGCCACACCACAGCCCCTTCTCTTCCTTTCTCTCAGGGTTTTGGGCACGCATGCATGCACATGTGCCTGGCATGTTTTTCAAGCCATGAGCCCGGGACTCGAACTGTGTGGTTAGCCATGTGGCATCCAGCTGCCTTAACCACTATGCCACCATTTGGCCCTCAGTGTAGGCGTCTTAAAGTTTTGTTCTTTTTAAAATTTATTTCCAAGTATTATGTTTTTAGATGTATTAAAATGGCATCTGTTTTCTTTTACTTCAGTTTCAAGTGTTCGCTGGCGTCATGTAGAAAGGTGGCTGAATTGCGAGCTGTGTGCTGGACAGACTGCTGAGCACTCACTCGCTTTACTAGTTACTTTGATTTCTTGAAAGCTTCCTGTACAAACCATCATGCCACCTATAAATAGGACAGTTTTAGATCTTTTTAAGTTTACATGCCTTTTGTTTCTTTTTCTTGCCTTACTGGACTGGGGTATTTTCAGTGTACTGCTGAATTCAAATTCTTTGTACCTAGTTTCAGGAGGAAAGCGCTTGGCGTTTCACCATAAAGTCCAGTATTAGCTGAAGGTTTTCATGTATGCTCTTATCAGGTTGAAGAGGTTCCCACTGTTTCTCATTTGCTAAATGTTTAGGTTTTTAAAGTCATGAGTGGGTATTGAATTTTGTTAAATGCTTTTTCTGTGTCTCTAATCACTCTTATTTGTGAACTTTTATTCATTTATGTCTTCCATGAGTGAGAGAGAGAGACGGTTCCTCCAGAGCCTCAGTGCCATGATCCACCTCCAGCCTTTAGCCAGCCCCTGGCCATTGACACACCCATACCCGACACTTAGGGAGGCTTCTGGACTTGAACTAGGAAGCTTTCCATGTGGGAGTGCATAGCAGAACATTCTCTTTTAGCGGTGCATCACGTCTGGCCTGGTTTATTTATTTTTTAACAGTAAACTGACCGTGTATTCATAGAATAATACCATCCTTTTGTACATCTAGATTCAGTTTGCTAATACTAAGATTTGTGGCTTCGGTGTTCATGATGCATTTTGGTCTGATCATTTTCTTTTAATCTTTGTTGGGTTTTAGTGTTGGGTTATGCTGGGCTCGTAAAATGAATTGAAAAACATTCCTTCCTTATTTACTTTCCTAAATAATTTTTTTAAAATTGGAAATTGGTATTAGTCTTTCTTTTTTAATTTGCCCAAGTGTATGAGCTGGGTAGAGAGAGAAGGGGGGTGAAAAAGAACCCCCATGGGGAATGGTCATGCTGTAGTCCCTTCTCCTCCATTTCTGCCTCCTTTTTGGACTTCGGGCACACCTGCATGTGCATTTGGTGTGTTTCTTCAAGCTGCCAGGTTCGGGGTCCTGCCGCCTTAACCTATTACCTGTTATTAACCCTATTATCTAATAATAACCCTATTATTTTTTTCTTGAATGCTTTTAAAATATTTTACGGTGGGACCAGCAGATGGTGTAATGGTTATATCACTGGACTCCCATGTAGTTGACCGTGGTTTAAGTCCAGACCTGGAGGGGACCAACAGGTAGTGAAGTGGTTAAGGTGCTGGATACTCCCACATGGACGACCACGGTTCGAATCCTAGACCTGGTGTCTTGCTTTCTCACTCTCCTTCTCTCTTTCTCTCTCTCTCTCTCTCTCTCTGTGTGTGTGTGTGTGTGTCTCCCTCTGATCAAATTAAAATAAATGAATGAATAAATAAAATTAAGTAAATAATTCTTTAAGAAAAAAAAAGGGCAAAAAACTGATGCTGCCCAAAATCCTTAGAGGAGAAGGGATTACAGCATGGCCATCCCCCCGGAGGTGTTTTCTTGATTTCTGTCTGTCTGTCTGTCTGGCAAGCGCATGTGCCCTATAGCAAAAACTTAAACACACAGAGACACACATACACAATCAGCGAAAGTTTGGCCCTGAAGTTTTCTTTGTGGGAAATATTTTCAGTAATTTAATTTGGATTAGTTTTGGGCTTCTCAGATTTCATATGTCATTTTGTGTCAGTTCCTCCCCCCCCCCAGCTCCCGCCCCACTACGTTTTTTTTTTTTTTGGCGCCAGAGAGTACCCGTGCTCACCAGAGAGAGAGACAGAGAAAGGGGAAAGTAAACCCCTCACCACCATCAATGAGGAAGTTTGGCCATGCTGCAGTTCTTCCTCCTTTTTTCCATCCTGTCTGGATTGGGGCACACGTGAACATATGCGCACCATATTCTTCAAGCCACCAGAGCTGGGACTCGAACTGCTTGGCCTGTTGTCTCCCTTAATCACTAGGCCAAAGGACTGGTCCAAAGAGGCAGCTTTCAGCTTTGCTAATTTTCTTCATTGTAATTATTTGCCATGTCTACTGAAGATTATGTGCTCATTGTAACTATTGAGACATTTCTGGATTTATAATACATATACTTTATATCTAATGTGTGTAATTCTAGGACAATTAGGGCACATTCTGTTTGATTTCTGTTCTTTTCCACCTACTGAATATAAACAGTTTCAGAGGATATTCCAAGTGCACTTGAAAAGAATGGGTATTCTACAGTCGCTGAACATAGTGTCCAGTTTAGTAAAGGCAGTGGATGGTGTTATTCATGTCTTGGCAGTATTTTTGCCTGGTCTTATTAATTATTGGAAGTAAAGTGTTAAACTCGCTAATTGTGGGCTTATCTATTTCTCCCTTTAATTCTGCTGATTTTTACTTTATTTAGTTGAAGCTGTTATTAGGTATACACAAGTTGAGAGTTTTATGTGTCTCTAATACATTTTGCCTTGTGCTAATACCCTCATATTTATTATTTTCATGGCCTTTTCTGTTCTCTTCAACCCAGTTATGTATTTGAAGTGATTATTTAGCAGTTAGCATATATTAGTTGTAACTTGCCTTTTTCATCACCTCTACCGGCCCTTTTTTTTGAGAGAGAGAGAGAAAGGGGGAGAGAGATTTTTGCTGTAGAGACAGAAAGATACAGAGAAACAGGAAGTGAGAAATCATGCCCCAGAGGGGACGGCCATGCTGCAGTCCCTTCTCTTCCATTCTCCGCTCAGGATTTTGGGCACATGTGCACATGCGCCTGGTGTGAGTTGGAAGCCTATGGGTCTGGGACTCGAACCGCCGTTGACTTTATGGGAGTCCAGCAATGTAACTATTATTCCATCTGTTGCTCTGCCTTTTAAATTGAATAATTAGATTTTTTTTTTTTGGTCCTTTTTAAAGTTTGCTATAGGACGTGTGCATTTGTCTAGGAGAGTGAAAATTGAGAAATCATCCTCCCGTGGGCATGGCCACACTTCAGTCCATTCTCTTCTCCTCCTGGGACTTGGGGTGCATATGCACCCAGTGTGATTTTCAAGCCCCAAGGTCCGGGACTTGAACTACACAGTTAGCTATGTGGGGTCCATCTACCTTAACCATCACGCCATCTGCTGGCCCCATCTTTTTTTTTTTTTTTTTGAGAGAGGTTTTTGCTATAGGGCGCGTGCGCTCACCCAACAGACAGACATAGAGACAGAAAGCAAGAAATCACCCCCCAGGGGGGATGGCCACACCGCAATCCCTTCTCCTCCATTCTCCTCTCGAGATCTTGGGCACGCACGCACACACGCACCCGGCGTGAGTTTTAAGCCACTGGGTCTGGGACTCAAACCATGGTCGGCTACATGGGAGTCCAGCGACATAGCTATTACGCCAACTGCTGGTACCAACCCCACCTTATTTTTAAAAGATCCCATTCGCATAACACATTTTCATATATTGGGTTGTCAGAAAAGTTATGACAACAGTGTTTTTCTATGCAAAAACGAACCATGACTTTTCTGACCCAGTAGCATGAAATTCCCCCTTTGAGAGCCTAGAATTTGGTGGTTTGTAGTATATTCACAAGTTTGTGCAGTCTCCACTATTACTCAATTCTGTCACCCAGAAAAAGAAAGCACATACCTGTAAGCAGGCTGTTCTAACCCCACCCTCAGCCGTGACTCTGCTCTCTGACCACTTGCATTTTCTTTTTTTCTTTTCTTTTTTTGGAGAGGTTTTTTTTTTTTGTTTTTTTTTTTTTTTTGTTTTTTTTTTTTTTTTTTTTGGGTG